GGTTTTTTATGGACGTTAACGTGACGTAAGTCGGTATGTCAGCCGGCTTTGTTGGAACCCGGACATCAGCCATAATGTCAATAGGAAATCTATGGCTTACGTCGGCAGATGTTGTGATAGACATGCAGCTCAAACAACTGCTGAGAGGTTACCGAAAAGTGCAAATGCCAAAGTGTCCAAGACTTTGAACAAGGCTGCTTTGAACAGGATTTAGTTGTGATCAGCATTTTGATTTAATTGTAACAGTGCAGTACAAACGCCACCAACTTAGTAACAGACCTTATGGCCTAGAAGTTAGGGCATTTGGGTTATGAGCTGGCAGCCCGGGTTCAGTGCGAGTTTGATTCCTCAGGTGTCCACTGTCCAGGAAACCAGGGTAGACTGTTACAGTACTACTCTTGCCCCTATGTGTTAGTGGTTCCCATAATGGGAATCAAACCCAGGCATTGGCAGTGAGTGTGCCAAATTCTAACTACATGTACTAGACTCACTGTTACAGTTATGATAAAAGCATTAAATTAGTCACAGGGATCATTAAATTATAATCCTAATAGCAATAATTAATTTTGTTTGGTGAATTTTTTTGCATCTTTTTGGCGACACGCCCAAGCACTCAGTCTTGGTGCTCACTACTCAAAAGGACAATTATTGCAATTAAGGTATGATCAATTACACGACCTTTTCAACAATACGTAGGCAATTATGCTTGATGTCAATCATAAAAAAAATGCACATATGATTGACGGGGACTTTGTTTAACTTACTTTTCTTACTCACACACCTCGCCAACCCTAGCCCATTGTATTGTAAATTTTCGATCATAACAAATACTAGTAAGATATAACTTGAAAGATAATAAACAAACTCTTACTAGTAATATAAAAACAATGGAATAAATGTTCATGATAAAGTATCAATGGAGATATGATTGACCAAAGTTGGGTTTCACCAGTGTTTATAAGACAACTCAACAACTTGATATACATTTTATGACAAAATAATTACGGCGACATTCCTCAAAAAGGATACTTTTTAACTTGTTTTGGTGACTGAATCGATTTTTTTCATTAACTACGTTTCGCAACTTGTTTGTGTACATCATACATTTGTCATGTTTAACACGGTGCAACATGCAGATCACGTTTTGTTGTTAATCCAAACATCTTGAACTCCTATCGGTGAAACCGTGCAAAAATTTCAGTGCAAATACTGTTGGCTCGAAACCGTGTCGGGCTGCATTTTAACTTCCTTTAGACTGATTTTCTGGTGCGGTTTAGTAAAATCAGATTATCCACGTCTGTCTTAACCTAAATCGAAAACGCCAAACGTGATTATTGCTGAATTTACTCGTAATTCTGATTCCCAAGAAGTGGAAAGTTTTTGGGGAGGGGGAGAAAATACCAAACTTGTTCGACAACATTCGGGCGGTGCAGTTTCTGAGGTAAAATCTGACGATATTTGCGCAAACATGACGATCAAGACACTTTTTATCACACACTGCAACTCCTCTTGGGTAATCTGACAGAAAACAGGGTAAGATCTTACCTGGAAGTGAAGAAATGGAGCAAAACTCGGACCAGGTGTGTGGAAGGGTCCGGCTCTTCCGTGTCTGAAATGCTGAATGATTCAGGGGCAAACCATTAATGTTCGCTCCATTCGGGGGTGGGCTGTAACACTTTCCTTTCACAACGTTGACTCAAAATCACTATTTTAGCCAACTAATCAATATATTCCCTATTTATACCAAGAAATATGGTACACTATCACAGTGAAAGATGAAATTCTTTAAAAAGGTGTGGACATTTTTGCAAAGGGAACTTCCACCCCTAATGTTTTATGCATCACCCCCATGGATCCCGTCATGCAATGCAACAGGTAGTTTGCAGACGATAAATACCACAATGACCTGAGGGATAGTTGTCTGTCCAAAAGCTGACGTGTACATTAAAAAGAGATTAAAACCTGACGTGTATATTAAACGTTAAAAAAAGATTTATAGGCCAACTGTAAAAGTGCTAAAATGGATAATTCTCTGTGCCACGTTTTCCCGAGTCGCTCATGTTCAGTGTGAAGACCACAAAGTGTCAAAATCCATTGTCTTCTCTTTAAAAAAATCTAAAAGATGAATGAAATGTTGTCTGTTCGAAGAAGTGCTGATATAGATTCAACTACTTGTGGTGATTTTGTTAAAACTTTTCATTGCGATAAAAGGACTTCTTTCACAGCCATTATAATGGAAAGCTCCATCCTCCATAGAAGAAAAATCATCGTGGTTGGTTGTCTACTTTCTCAGAATGCGTCACAAAAGTGGGAGGACCGGTTATACATTGCATTATTCGTCCCTATGTGTCCAAATAGTGTGCAAATGTCCAGACCCGCATGAAATTCCATAATCACCTCGAACCGATAAAATCATATGATAGCACATATTAAGATTCGAAGTGTTTAGATATGCAACAAGGCTGCCTTCAGTAATTTACAAAGCCGATGTATATATAGCGTAGTTTGTGTAACGTTGCGTCTATTGGTTATGCGTTTCCATGGGTCCATTCACAACACAACCAAACAATCGTATAGCCCTCAAAAATACACAAAACATGCCCATAACAAAACGTCCGTTTGAAGATGACCATCAACTAAATTGTGTGACGTTATACTAACAGGTGTATAAACGTGGCATTTCATGATGAATTTCATTGAATTCAGTGGTTTCGGTTGATTGACAACAGGGAGTCAGACAGAGTGCAAAGACAATGGAACATTATATACTGACACATATTCAATGGACAGTGACGGACTAGTGACCAAATAGGGTAAGGACGCACATGTTAGCATTTAGCGTCCAGGATATGTGTGTTTGTCCCAATTTTACGATTCACATACTAGTACCCCCCCCCCCAATTTTAAGTTTCACATGTTTCTACGTGTAGTTTCTCGCCCAGTTTCTGATTTTATATTTCTTGAAGCTGCTCCGCCAAATATCACATAAAAGTCACATCTGTAACGCTGGTAGTGTTACCGTCCATTCCTTTCTGTGTACATAGAAAATGTGTGGGTAACAAAAGAAAGCACGGCGCACCTATGGCGGTGTTTGTTATGATAACCTTTGAGTCATCTCCGGTTGTCTTTGAAACTGAAAGGGGATGGCAAATTAGTAAGCCTCGGTCTACAGAAAAACTAGAATAGTACAGTTGAATCATGACGACCCGTAACGTCACACAACCAACCAAATGGGTTGTCTTAGCTTGTCTTCCTTTTTGTTTCTTGTGGAGCGTCTAAAATTTGTCTTCACATATCAATTCATAGTTTCTGGATAGATACCTGTTCAACTACATATTCTTTTAGTCGCAGACGAAAAGCAGTGGATGCTACTTGAAATGTCTGACAGTTTTCAAAACCTATTCCATTGCTCGAGTATACGTAACATCCTTGTGGAAATGAATGTGCAACAGAATTGATGTCTAAACGTCTCTGTACGTGTATGAAAATATTGCTCTGTCAAAATTAATGGAAATCTGCCTTGGAAAAGAATTCCTGGACAACAATTTTCTGCCACTGGCGTATTTTAGATTGATGTAAGTACCAGCGATATGGCATATTTGAGAGAAATCCTTGGAGGTTTTTGGCAGAATCACGTTCAATTCGATACAAATTGCAAAGTGAATTCGATCTCCTGGAAACAATTTCAGTATTGCTTTACTAATTTTCTAGATCTAACACATCTTGTTTCCTTGTTGCTGCTGTTATCCAGATTTTATGATGCGTTTGGGGCTAAAACTACTCTCTAAGCAGAGGTTGAAGTTAGAGATCGTTACATTCTGATGATTGCGCATACCATCAAGGGAAGGACTGTAAGAAGCGTTACACTAGCTGCAATGGCCCGCACAACATAATATACAAAGACAGGGATATTCAATATGCTATTACTAGTATCATGCCCTGTCTATATGACTACTACATGCATCCCTCTATGTAGGTCTCTGCAAAAACGAGACAATGTAATATGTCATGTTGTGCAATAAAGTTATTCTATAATCGAACCGAAACTTGTGGCTAGAATAGTGTCGTTTACGTGTTTGTCCTCATGTCCGTCGATCGGCGAATGAAGGGCTGCCGCAAGCATGCAATGATATCAGGGTCTACTCTACCCAGTTGTTGCAGTGGGCTTGCAGTACAACAGCGCCCCCTAGGTGGACCTACAACAAAGTGCAGACCGTTTTAGAATCGTTTTATCAGTATGGAAACCGTATGCGATCGCGACACAAGGGGCGTCAATGGTTACCAGTGCACAAGCACAATTATATATCACAGACGCACACGGAGTCTCTATACAACGTTACTCACGTTTGACATGGTTACCAGCTTGCAGTCCATTTCTGCCACCTAGCGGTAGATGAGGAAGTGCAGCTGTTAGTCCTCTGCTGGACAATGCGCGTATCCTATCTGCTGCTGCATGGCAGCACTACACTGCGTTGCATGCTGGCAACTCCTTAAAGTGTATTTTCTGGATGTGAATGTTAGCAAGTAAGGAGTTATTAAAAGGCCTGTCTTCTGACACAAACAACAGTGTTTTCCATAATAGGATTTGTGGGCTGAATGTCACGGACTTGCTACTACTACAAAATCAAACTGGAGCTTTACTTTTCTCCAAAGTAAGATGTGAATGCACCAAAAAACATATCCAGTTGCTTGAATAACTGTTTTTGGCGTATCATATTACCTGGATGTCTAACCTTCATCGACGTAAGATGTGAATGTCACTTCTTTTGTTCTATCCAGTGCCGTGGAAAGTTAACAACTCATTTTATTATCTAAATGAAAATTTGTTGACCAAAGCAACAATTCAATAGTTCTCTACAAGCAAAGGTTGGATGGAGAGACATGCATTGAAGGGATTGCCTTGCTGTCAAAAACTGGTACCAAAAAGTCACAATCACTCCTTCTAACTGAGAGTAGTTCTACAGTACAAAGATGATCCAAAGAAGAGTCAGAGCATCAGGTTGATGTTTTCAAGTGATCTTTACTTATAATATGAAAACTTAACATTTATACATACAAAGATCAGTGACAATAAAAAGGCTAACACAGGCCGGGGATATTGCTGACTCTCAGCACTAGCAGTAGCATCTCAACAGCTTTTCCCACTCAACATGCTAACCTGCATGCAGGGGGTATGTATGTATGTATGCATTACATGTTTTCTTATTTAATTTGTAGTTATCAAAAATTTCTCTGGTTAACAAGTCATAGTACGCATATACACGGTGAACGAAAAAGTTTGGAGGCACAAGGGGATGTTGGATCATTCTTGCCAGGCAAGGTATCAAATTCATGCAATATATAATCTTTGATAAAATAAGATAGCTGAGGCAAGGCACGATCCAGTACAAGTAAGGTACTGCTGGCTACGCCCCTGAGGCATTGCCAAAAAGCACAGAGACAGCTTACTCTACAATACAGGGGAGGTGCACAAAGTAATGCTTGTGCGAGCTGTGCAGGAACTAAGCCGAGATACAGAGGCATACACAAGACTAGGCGCAACACTTGCACAACATCGGCAACACAGAACGGTGTGTTTTTTTCTTCTTATAAATGATACATAATTCTTGAATACATACACAACATTTGAGTAACCTAAACGAAGACATCAAGCTAAACAGAATGCATTGTAAACAAATCATTGGGCTCCTCCCTGTATAAAAAAGGATACAGTAATATCACTATAAGATTATCTTACAAAATTGTTGTATTTTGATCAAGACTTCAAGATTTCTCATCAAGATGTATTGCACTTCCTTATGAAATGCAAGCACACTACAGCAACTGCTCACATTGCCCTCCACCATCTTTTCAAACCCTTCCCATCATCCTTCACTCTGGCCCTCTGCCAAATATACCATTAAACGACTCTTTATTCAACTAAAGATCTTAAACCATTGAGCTACTCTCAACTTTTTCACAGTATGTCAGCAAACCACGTCCGTCTTGCTTTTCGGCTTTCTTTTTCGTATCATATCGTATCAAAGCAGGCAAAGCTACATTTTTCTCTCATGCAGCAACATCCATGGCAACCAACAAAGCATCATGGGATATATCATCTCTCATAAAATCAATTAATATCATCTTAATATCACATTCCAACTGCTTTCCATGTGTTTACTTTCCTGGAATTTTTTCAATAAATGATCTATAATATCATTTCTTCTTTCGGAGACAAACAGTTTCTCTACTGACTGAATGCATCAGGAATTTTGCTACGTGCACACGCTTGTGACAGTTGTGCTCAAGGACACTTGGAGGTCAAGTATCAAAATGTGACATCAGAGAAACTACATGTCATCTTCTACCACAAAATACCTCGTTATCTCATCAAAAATACTATCCCTGGACAGAGAAACTTCTACTACATCTTAAGACAAAGTTGGCCTTTGTAAAAATTTCTCCAATGCGTTTTTTTCCCTCTATGCAGCATTATTTCCTTTATAAACTGTAGGTATGGAACGCACAATCGGTGTTAATAAATTATACACGAAGAATCCGTTAGCAAAGATGCCAGCACTCTGAGAAAGTAACAAAATCTGACTCCTAGCTTTTCCCAACTAGTATTTGTTAATATAAAATTCTTTCTAGCTCTGGGAATATAGACTAGTACTGGAAATGTTTCTGTTTAATCAATAACCTGAATATCAACCTGCTTATCAAGTTAATATTAACCTGCTTACCAAGTTAATAGAATATTCTTACATCCAGAGTTCAAAATACGATTTTGGAAAAATAGAACTCGTAGCAAATCTATAGTTTTCAGGTAGCAAAGTTAGATAGTGTTGATTCATATAGCACTTACTTGGTTTCAAATTACAGATCAACCATTGTGTTTTATCCTGAACATAAGAAGCACTCTCATTGGAGCATCGTGAAAAACATGTAGAGACAAAAAAGGCTGCCATTGGTCAGTGTAGACATACAGCCATCCTAGTAAAATTGCTACAAGACCTGTGATTGGTCCATTATGTCATGAGGTCAACAGATAATCAGACTACCAAATATGGTATTAAGAGTATCACACCAAAGTTTCTATAAAATATCCGGCAACCAGCATGTCTTAGCTATGTACAGGTACAAAAATTTGGATCAAATTCAGCTATAACCTCTAACATTGCCTCACTTTTTTGGAGGACTATAATCAAAAATTATCTTTACATTTCAGTTAGTAAAGTCTAACATTATTGTACAACCACCAACTGTCAATGGACTAGAACAAAACTACATGTCATATTAAGTACAAAACTTCATGTTCTTGAAAGTGAGGCTATGGTAGGGGTTATAGGGATCATGGAAAGACCAACTGGATTGAGAGTTCCCTTATAGCACTGTTGGATTACGCTACAGCATTTTTCTAAAGAAACAGACTTGCTTGAAACTCAAAGACCATTATCACAACCTTCTCCAAACATGAGATTGAAAGACTGCATGTGATTGGGTAACAGTTCTCACTGATGTTACCTTGACTAAGACAATGCCCAATCACCATAGGTGTTACAAATTTGGGAAGGAATTTCCTGCAGTAATGTGATTGGATAACAGCCTTATAGCTCAGATGTCATAAGGTCTTTATCTCAAGCAAGACATGAATCTTTAAGAAAGAGATGACAAGCTGACTTAAGACAATAGCTAACACTGCACTGCACCTTAAGAAAACTCTTTACTTTACCTAAGTACAAGTGTATAGTGTATACAGTGCACAACTTCCCACCTCTTTCTACTGATAACTTTCAGTGGGGTTAAAGTATATTATTACTGTATTTCTGTGCCTTATTTTAAGAACTGTAGTGCAGTGTTAGCTGAATGTCTGGAGTATTTTTCCATCTCTGACTGCTGTGTGTGTTTGTTTCTGTGACAACATCATGCACCAACCCAGGAGAACGCTATGACTTGAAACCAAGGAAGAGGTCAGTTATTGGTTCTTAAGTAAGTCCGGGGGGACGGTCAGTCCTTGACCAGGCGGTAGATGTGGTGCTGGGCGCCGTGCTCGCTTGTCGAGACCTCGAACACGTACGCGATGCACAGCAACGTCTCCTGGGTGTCACGATTCGTCACCACCTGCGAAGAATTCAAGTCAAAATTCAAACTCCGTCTGGCTTAACGCTAGTTTCTGCTACTGCAAGTAGTACTTGGAACTATTATACTAAGCTACAATAAAAGCAAGAAGAGAAGTTGAACCAACTAAATGCCGTAAACTTTATTTTTCAATACATTTTGTCTGATCCATACCTCTTCCCTCATGACCTCAGTAAAAAGCGGCTTGCAGGCCAATTTGAGCTTTCATGAATAAAGAATGGTTCAAACAAAACTTTCATGAATAAAGAATGGTTCAAACAAAACTGAAAAGTCATGGATACAGCTTGTCCAGACAAGGAGTCTCCATAATAATCTACTGGAGTAGAAACTACGTATCAAAAGAAATTGTTAACCATACTTTGCAATTTTAAAACATGCCAGGTCCTTTTTTACTGGTCACAATATTTTGTTTCTCTTTGACCAGTCTTTTCATACTTCTTTTTTGTTTCCCTGACAGGAAGTTAGGTCAAAGGTCCCAGAGAGAAAAGCAGGCTATCAAAGGTTATCCCATTACCTGTCTTCAATTTTCTACCATATGCATGCCTATTGGCTTATGGGAGCCGGTGGGAAAAGGCATAGACAGAATCATCAAGAAATTCACAATAATGAACAAATAAAAGATAAAATTCATACAAATCTTAACTATTTTATGGAGGTATGAGATTTTGTTTCTTTGCCTCACCTGCAGTATGGTGAAGTTTTCCAACACACTGTTCATCATGTACTTCTCTGGCAGGTGCTTGAGTTTGTGGATGAAGTTGATCATGTATTCACACATGGGTGACCGGTGGATGTTGTAGACAAACCGCCCGTTCTCAAACCGTGCATACTCCGTCTGGAATCAACAAAATAAAAAAAATACACATCAAATAACTGAAGTACAAACAGTAATACTAACATTCTATTCAGAATACAACATGCAAATGGAGGTAAATTTGTGCAGGTATTTCTGATGTTTGATGCACCTGGAGTTGAAAGTGATATGAAAGGCAAAGAAAAAAGTGTTGTAGGTAGAATTTGTCTGGTGCAGGTAAAAATTTTCAGGTCAAAATCACTTGCACTAGTGCAGCGAATTTCTAGCTGTGCTATTGCTTTTCTTACACAAAATGATCAGAAATTATCAGCTAGTGCAACACACTCTTCGATAACAACTTTTCTGTCTTGGTTTCTTTACTTTGTCATCTTTAAAAAAAAAAAAACTTTTAAAAAACTTTTACAGAAGATGGACTTCTAAAGTAGAAAGAATCCAACAATTTTTCAGAGTTAAGAGAAACAGATGAATCTTATGACAAATTATGAAGGAACGTATGAATGAATAAGAATCTAGGGCCACACCAATCTATTTCCTAGTTTCAGTCATTCTTAAAAAAGAAAATTCTCAAAATAGAAGGTAAATACAAAACTATGTATTTTTACTTCTTAAAATTTTATGTCCCAACGTACAGATTTTTGACTCAGACATTTTACAATTTGAAATTACTGTAAATCGCCGTATATTTGTGGTACTTTAATATTCACAGTTTTCGCAGTCACTTCTGTACTGCAAACTTATCATTACTGCGAACAAATAATTCAAGAACTTTCTTTCTTTTGCACCTGCTGCCACCAGGAACATATAGTTCCGCGAACACGTTCATTTTTCTCAGACTGCGAAGTTTTGCTACCATGAATATTACATGTAAGTGATTTACAGTATCTTCCTCAATACAAGAAGCAGTAAGTTAGCCCCGATTTACACGTGCGTCGTTTATATCTTTTGGGCGTAAAACGACGCGATCGCGCGCGCGGCGCCGCACTGCTCGTTCTGTGCGACAGATTTTTTTAGCATGTAAACAACCTCCGCCACAGACGCGCGTCTCCACGCGTTATTTTTCTGTGGCACCTACTGGAGGTGCCACAGGAAAACCGCCGCGAGGTGCCGCACGTCTGTGGCGGAGGTTGTTTACATGCTAAAAAAATCTGCGCTCGCATAGTTTTACGCCCAACAGATATAAATGACACACGTGTAAATCGGGCCTTAAATTTCTGTGGCCTTAGACATTAAATGGATGAACACTTAGCACTAGAGACAAGACGAGAGGGATACTTGCCAAACCTACCTCTACTTTCTCCACAACCTGTTTGCCGAAAGAGCAAACTTTTGTAGAACATGTGATCGTCATGTTCTGTTCACTCTCATATCTGCAAAATCAACCAAAGGAGTGAGGAAGAACAATATGTAACTCTATTCCACCAAGACAACTACAACATTCAGGCTGCTCTATGCATTAGCTCCATTTAAAACCTGGTTCACAGCATAAAAGGTATAAATTATTTATATACTTCTACCTTACTTTTGAATTGTTGCCATTACCATACTACATCACATGTACCTCCTGTGGATTTATTAATTCTTAGTTTAGTTATCTATTTGCATCAGGCACATGGTCCATGCCTAACAAATACTAACAACGATACTAAAATAATACACCAACATATTCCTACCTATATCCTATTTATAAATATCTATAAATAATAATAACTGTGGGGTACAAAACGGATTTACTTGTGCGTTACAATTTATCAACATCAACATACACACACAGTACATGACGTACATTTGTATATCAGTATATTGGCTGAAACAAAACTTGACTAACACAACTACACATAAAAGGAGTGTTTCCAGCACTGTGTATCTGAAAGGAGACTTGGAACTGCACAAATATTATACTAGCTGGGGATTCCTTCTAAATGGTCAAGTCTTCCACAGTAAACAATGAAATAAATTCTCACTCTACTGTGTTTAACAAAATTGTGAGTCGTGACTGTGCACTTACTGGCTTTGCCAAAAAACAGTTGCTCAACCAACTGGATATGACTTTGGAAATGGTCAGACGTTTCAGGTACATTGTAGCATCCACTACCTTTCGTCAGTGACACTGGAGAATTCTCAGAACAACAACTTACTGGCTTGTTACTCCGTAAAAGGCACCGGATTCTTCCTGTATGTTTGTATTGAGGTCGGCCCAGAATTTGACCAGAAAGAAGGCCTCCTGCGGTCCCTTGTCGTACAGTTCCTTCAGACCACCCTTCTTCTCCGGGAACTTGTCATAGATCTGACGAATGTCCACTTGCTAAGACGCAAAAAGTCGCAAGACACGTAAATAAAAATTCATTCATTCATTCATGCTACAGAGACAAACAAGATTTATATAGTATATAGTAGAGGGGATTCATTCCTCAAGCTAACCAACATCTCACACACGCAGTCGTCCCTCAGTAAGACATCTGAAGCCGCATAGTTCCCGTTTAAAACTTTTATTCAGCCTGTCACGTGACCGGTTTCGCCTGTGTGGCTTCTTCAAGTGTACAGAGGCTAAAATCAAGAGTTATATAGTCTGAAAAAGCATTTTAAATAAGAAACTGGCAATTTCAGATTTGTAGGATGTGTTTCTGGCATTTCTGACATTCAAGTTCACCCCATTTCCTGAGCCTGACCTTTTGACCTCCAGTTATACTGTCCGTCAATCTTCCCCCACCCACCTACCAACTTACTCTGCCTGGACAGAAACCCAAAACAATTCTCTTCTGTACCCAAAAGGAAAAAACATTTATAACTCTGTACAGTTTGAACCTTTGCTTTGAAGGTTCTAAATATTAATTGAAGGCTTTTGTTTGGAAAATTCCTTTTCTTTATTCTTCACAAAGATTGGCTGGTAAATGTAATTAAAAAATCATTTGATTTGTAAGAATACTCACCTCCAACAGTGGATCTGAATACGTTGGGTTGTTCGGCCCAATGTGTACAAACAGATGTTTGTGGAACTGGTGACAGAAAAAAACAAACAAAATGGTCATTTTCATCAAAAAGGATAGACAGAACATAACATCATATAAAATAAACCAAGCAACTGGATAAATTCTCTCAAGAATCAGACATTTCAGATGTCATCCCCTATCTTCATATTTTTTTTCAGTCACAGATGCTATCTCAATCGTATTTCAGTTGCTTGATTCATTTAGTATTACAGAACGGCCACACGACAAAATAGCAAAAAAGACTACTGAAACATTAGCACATAGGAACAATTTTTGATGCCCTGACAAAACTTCAATACAATGTCTAATAAGAATGAGTCATGCTCACCGTGTCGTGATCTCTTTGCTGTTCCATAAACGCGGAGAACTCCACCAGTCTGAGCCTGGCCGTGCCGATACACCGTCCCTGCCACGCCGGCGCGCCTGCCGGCATCATCCCTGCTCCAACCGGGTACCCTGGGGCCATCGCGCCCTCCGCTTTCGTAGGCTGGAGACCGTACGGTTGGGACCCTGCGAATGGTTTAACGCTAGGAAATGGAGAGAAAAAAGTGGAGTTAGAACAATCTAAATGCAACATTCTGTACGAACAACTAGTATGAAAGGGGTGCTAGAGAGAGAGAGAGAGAGAGAGAGAGAGTAGTGTAACAGAAACTATTGCACCCTCCGCTTTCATAGGCTGGAGACCGTACCGTTGGGACCCTGCGAATGGTTTAACGCTGGGAAGCGGAGAGAAAAAAGTGGAGTTAGAACTATCTGTACGAATGCAAGATTCTGTACAAACAACTATGAAAGGGGAGCTAGTGTCACGGAAATTAAAAGTCATCGCACCCTTCGCTTTTGTAGGCTGAAGATCGTATGGTTGGGACCCTGCAAATGTTTTATCACTGCTAAACAGAGAAAAAAAAAAGTAAGGTTAGTACAATCTTGCTTGTAACAAAACCTGAAATATGCCGCGACAATATGGGGTCCATATCAGGGCTCTAGCCAGCACCCGTTTTGCTGTCAATCGCAGGAACTTTAGGATGTGTGATGGAAAATTTTTTAAACCAAACCATGGACAAAATTGACATAAAATCTTGGGCAAAAAAATCCAAAGAACCAACAAAAACATTCTCAACTTCATAGTCTCCCTCTCAAAATGTGGGACATAAACTAAAGGCTTGGAAATCCAAATTTGTCCCCGGTCTCCCTAGATTGCGAGCACTCTCCCCCCCACCCCCAAGTCCGCTGCAACTCTGTTGCAAGACAACAGAATTCTAGTCAGTTGACTACCATATTATTCAAAAGTTTGAGCAAGACATACCAATCCTTGGAATAACTTACCATTCAAGAGAGACTTAAGTAGTTCCCCTATCTCTAAGTTCAGAAATCGAGATACGAAACCTAAAACTGATGGCTGTCACTGAGAATGTGTCCAACACAGTGACAGAGAAACGTTGTGAATGCGCCTCTGATTGTGACAAAACAATATGTGGCCCAGGTGAGGCAATCTTCGTCAGTATTATGTGAAAAATTTCACCTGCCCAGAAGACAGTTAATTCTTCACATTTACTGGGCTTTTGGAGTTCTGCGTGAGAATGGATAGTACCTCGGGGTGAGCAATGCTTTACATTAATATGACAAAAATGTAATTATAGCTCCATTGAAAGCCGACTTTAGGGAAGTAGCAATTGTATCAAAACAGGGACACACTATAATAGTTCTTACAATCAATTCTATTGTTGTATCATCATTGTAAAAAAAAAGGGGGGGGATATGTTTATTTTGTTCTGGTATAGCTTCTTGTAGGAATAGGATAGGGAAGGAAACTGCAAATTTATTTAAGTTACCGGCTCAGTAAAAATCACGTTTGGAGTATTTTTGAGTTCGCAGTTGAAACAATGTTAGTAACTGAAAAATGTGAACCTAAAGGTACAGTACTACTACACACTATAGTTACTACCTTGGCCTATGTTTTAGTGATATAGCTGAATTTATCTGTATAAACGCTTTAGAAGTATTCTCTTACATCTGATAAACTATGGAGATAACTGTGAAAACTTGTGCCAAATGTCTGGTCTTCTATCAACAGCCAGATGTAGTCTTCTATTTAAAAAACGGCTCAGTTTTCAATCAAGTTGGTGCTGGGCCACAATTTGTATAGCCTGGATGCCAGACTGTTTCCAGGATCTACACAGGCTAGATCTTCAGTTCCAGGGCCAACATTCTCCCAAGGAAATTTTACCACAGTCCCCCTGAGTCCCTGAGTTAGTGTTACTCAGAGTCTAATGCTTAGGGGGGCTGTGGTAAAATTTCCGTGGGCGCATTTTGACCCTAAAGCTGAGGAGCTGGTCTGCGTAACCCCTGGAAACAGTCTGGTATCCAGGATACATTTTGTACAACCTGGACACATGCTTTCAATGTCTGTTTCCTGGCAAGAAGACCGCTAGCTGATTTATAGCTGAAATTGATGTCAACGTTTAACCTTTTCCCTGCTGAGACGGTCATTTGGGCACCACATTTGTACTGCTTATAACATTAGGCAGCATGGAGATTTTGAAGGTTAAGGTGCAAAATTTAAGGTGTAACCGAGCTGTTACTCAATAGTTGAACTTCATACTTTAATTCTGTGCACATTTCTTTTATGTCTTCTTTCATAATCTTTGTAGCAGCCTAGGAGCTACCTTTCTTGTGAAAAGAAGCAATTTATGAATACTGTTTCCATACATATTTTGAATAGGCATAGTTAAATGGCAAAAAAACATCACCGTGGCAGGTGTAGACAAAGAGGCACATTAGGATCAAAGTCAAACGTAGGGGCTGAAAACATCCTGACAAATTTGGTGTGACATTAAGCATGTTGCTGCAACAGTGGAGAGGCAGCCTCGCGCAGAAATGGCAGGGTCTGCCGCAGGACATGCAATTCCCTGCATACTTCTGTCTCAGATGAAATGGGGAAATTCCGGACATTCCGGGCAGCAGATAGCCTCCCCTTCATCATCTCCATACCCCAGCTGCCACGCAGGGGATTGTCTCAAAATACAACACGCTTTGTAAACAAAATCTCATCATCTCCATACCCCAGCTGCCACGCAGGGGACTGTCACAAAATACAACATGCTTTGTAAACAAAATCAGCTCATGTGGGCGTAAACAAACAACTTATGTTTCTTCATCCCATATGTAAGATTTGAACTTTGTTCTTTGGGTGTGAACAACTTGCAAGTAAACAAAGCAATTGTTTGTTTTGCTTTTTTATGTGTTTATGTTTAACCTTTTCCCTGTTGCCTAATCCCAAAGCCAATACAGATTTGGGAGCCAAACAGCTACTTCAGTGTGCTAAAGGTTAAACTACCTTGCTCTTAAAAGGCTACCTTGGTAGTTTATTCTAGGCATGTAAGTGCCAGAAAAAATAATAAAACCTTTTTTTGTACATGTAAGAGTTTTTTTGTAAAATATAATTTGGCCTGCGTCGAACGCCGCACTTTTGTGCAACAGATTTTTTGAGCGGGTAAACAACCTCCGACACTGATGCGCGGCGCCACGTGTCAATTTTTGTGTGGCACATCCATAGGCACCACGGGAAAATCGATGTGCAGCACTGCATCAAATGACATTTTTGCTCTGTATAAATCGGGCCTTATCCTGTGGAACATTTGGAAGCCCGCGTAATAGAACCTCCTGGATGTGTCACAGAAAAATGACACGTGGTGCTGCGCAGCAGTGGTTGTTTACTTGCAAAAAAATCTGTCGCACAAAACTTGCTGTGCGTCGCAGGCCAAACAATATTTTTGCCCAATGTAAACCGGGCCTTACTCCAGCTAGCAGCTACAGTAAAGTCTGATCTTCCACATCCGAAGGACTACCGAGACACTTACTCCTGAGAAGTCTGTGGCATGGCGCCGGGCCACATCCCATAGGTTGGGCGCACCGCCGAGGCTCCGGGGGGCACGCCCATGCCCGGCATCCCCGCCATTGCTTTGTTGTGTATTGCTGTTGCCGAGACGATCTGCGCAGACGACATGGCCGCCATCTGCTGCAGGGCCTTGTCCTTCGCCGCCTGATCCTGTACATGAACCAGTAGTAACAAAACAAAGAACACGTGAGCATCCGCTCACCCACCGCGGGAACTTCTTCAATCCTCCAGTCCTCTTCCGTTTATAGTTTCACCAGGTTGATAATTCATTTCTATCATAGTTCCTTTGCTACACAACCATGATTTTTTCTCTGTCAACGTTTCAGTTGTGTTCATCAGAGTGATATGTACTTTCTCCTTGTCGTATTGTGACATAACTATCATTTGGGACTGCATGGGATTGCATTCACGTGACGTCTGAGACTGCATCCTTGCAGCCACCTCACAAAGCTGCAAGTAGAAGTAGTAACGTTCAAGGACTTTGTTGTGATAATTGCATCACAATTTGACAAGGGGAAAGTCCATAGGGAAGCAGAGGAGCTACCGAAATGTTGGCAGAGAAAAATTCATGGTTGTGTAGCAAAGAAACTATGATGTCTGAAGTCTACTTGCCTGTTGTTTACTCTGACTGAATGGAAACTAAACTATACCATATTATATCTGATACAACATTACCTGCTTTACTTTGTTAAACACGTTCTGCTCTGGTCTAGTTTGAGAGAGATATAACGTCTAATTTTAACTAGAATTTTATATTCAAGAATAAATGTGGAATTTTCTTTGTGTTTTGGCATAAATGGTTTAAAGTCATAGAAAGTTTCTTTTTTGTCAATGAAATAAAACAAAACAAACTTGAATCCAGATTTGCCACTTTACTATTTAAAGAGCTAAAACCTCAAGAATATTTTTCCTTGTAACATTTTTATTTCTTCAGTCATCTTTTAGTAAGATGAATCATAAGTAAAATGTACGGTAGATGTTTTCTTTAAGAACCCCAGTTATCTTTCATGCCTTCTTCTTTTGTGATTTTTATGATCTACTGTTTGGTGATTGAATCTTTGATGTGATTTTTTTTCAAGACTCTTTAATATTACCTCTTTGATTTCAACAAGTCTTTTTCAAACTTGAATGTTTTCACAGATATCAAAATGGAAGGTAGACAAAAAGAAATACAAGAAACAAAAAGAAATCTTGAACTTATAAAAGAAAAAGACATGATCACATACATCTAACAGTCATGTTTATATTATTTGGCCATGGTGTTTGTCATCGTGAAATTTCTTAAAGTAGCCAACTTGTCATATACTTCAGTATGTGTGAGAAACAAATAAATATTATTACACTGATTTCTAAACCAGTGAAAGGAGGAACCACTCTGTTTTTCAACATTTCTTTCCGAAAAGTTGGATATGATTATGAAACAAAATAGTTTGGTATTTAAGTAGCTGTTGTTAAATATAGGTATTTTTCCTACAATACATAAGAATTTTCCAATTTTATTTTCACCCTAGTTCAAAATTCACAACTCCAAAAGTCTTCTATCCAAAATCAAATCTTTTACCACATTTTGTATATGAAGTACATGTACTAGAGATTTTTCAGTTCGTCTGTTTCGAAGTTTTTTCAAAAGGCCATCACAGAGTGATACCATACATAAACACAATATCTACCAACTCAAATAAAAAAATCACTCAATGCAAAATAAGAATGAATGAATGACATGGAATATGTACTGAATACAGAAGGGAGGGAGGGCAGCACATAAAATGCGGGGATAGACAGACAAGGGGAAGACAAAAAGAACGACAGCACAAAGACTGTTATCCTTCCTAGAGACACCCCCTTGCTCGATTACAGACAATGAGGGGAAGCGAAACGCTGGGACGTGGTTGGTCAGTTGAAATCTAGTACCTAACGTCACAATTCAGCGAAAAGCGGCCAAAACAACACAGTTGGCAGGGACTAGGAACTTTGGAGGATATGAGTAGTTTTTGCCTGCTAAACGCAGATTGACGTTTTAAGAAGCACGTTCAACGAGCCAAAAAATGGGGGATGAACATTTGGGGAGTTATGTAGCTTTACGCACATTATTTTTTCTGGTATAGTAACGGCTTAGTTACGTAGTAAGCTTGGTTACGATATTACGCTGGTTGACTAAGCACTTCAAAGACAAATTCAAAGTCAATGAAGCGAGTTATTCATGAAAATGCACATTGGAGGGCTATTTTTTGTCAGAAAGCATGGTTTGGAGATTTTTGGGTATTCCTACCACAAAATGAATGATACAAGACATCAGACACAGAGATATGAAAAGTAACAATCAAAGTAAACAGTGCATACCTACTCGCTTTTACCAAAGGAAAGCAATTCTTCAAGTTATCGCTTTACGCTTTAAACAAAACCAATCTTTACACCAAAAAAATAAAAAAGACTTAAAAAGGGAAGATTAAAAAAAAAAGGAGGTACTGCACCGGCATCCTCTGATCAGAATTTTTCAAGTGGAGGAAAAAAAAGGTATATAAAAATTTTAAAAACGGCTTCACATTTGGCCGCATGATTACGACACACACAGATATACCTTCAGCTTGGCTTGGAGCTCTCGCGCTTTCCTCCTAGCAAGGACCTGGATGTGACTGGACACCTGGAGGACAACAAGGGTTAACAAACGTCGAGAAGAGGCGGGAGAGAGTGAACGAGAGACGGCGAGCGAGGAGCATGAAGTACCTTGATTGAGGACTGCAGTTCGCGTAACTTCCGCCTAGCTAGCACCTGGATGTGGCTGGAAACCTATGAGAGGGGCAACAAAGGTTAAGGCTCGAAGGGCGCCAGGAATAGAGAGGAAGGAGCCAGGACTCTGGTGGAGGGTTTTTCGTTTTTGCCGTTTTTCTCGGGACATCTGCGTCTTTATTTCCTTTGGAGGGGGAGGGGGGCTGTTTATTCCTTTTTTCGGATTTAGTTCTGCTTTATTGGGCCTGACCTGTTTGCTGATTAAAAACTTGAAGCCATGAGAAACTTGAGGACCAAGAAGAGGTCGGAGAACCTACCGGTCTGTCTACGAGGCTGGTGTGTAGAGGAGTAGAGTAGAGCGCACATGGACACGCCAAGGGGGTGTGGTAGGGAGGGCAACAGTCAAAGCAACAGAGTTGCTACTACGATAGAATGGTACCTTTATTTGAGCCTGTATCTCCCGGGCACGCCTCTTGGCTAACACCTGTATGTGGCTGGAAACCTAGAACCAGATTGGCGGCAAAATTCGCTGGTACAGAATCTGCTGTTGACGAATATTACACTTGCTACCCCTTCTGCTATGGTTACTTTGATGCCACGCTGTCTAGATTTGGGTGCTACTCTCTACGCTTCTCAGGCCATGCTGTGGTAGTTCGGAGGATCGGTTTGGAATTAGCGGGGGGACACGAGCACATTCCGGGGAATTTTGTCAGTAGTAACTTCTTGTGCTTCCGCACAAAAATAAAAAAAGTCAACAAAATACGATGCATCTCATCATCAGTGGTGGGACAAGTTTTGTCATTTCACAGAAATAATTTCGGTTGGCGGAACCACAACGAACTGCATAACACCTAGACAATACACACAAAAAACCATGCTAGAGAGTTCTTTACTTCATTCAATATGTGTTCTATATGTCTGCAAGCAAATACATAAATGCACATGCACGTTGTTACACTTCTGGACAGTCGCTATACGATGCATGCATTACCCGCCCCATGTCTTGGCACATTACTGTCACTGTTGCTGTCCACATGGAACAGCGCTGTCCCCTGCTGTCTTACACCGTCATACCAACCTGTTTCCTTGTCCGCGTCTTCCCCGTTCTCAGTTTTATGTACCTCGCAATCAGCTCATTTCTTCCTGCAAGAAAAAAAAACAAGAAAAACTTAGTCTATTTAATGTATAGCTTTGTTTTGTTTTATCCAGTACATATACAGCGAACAATCATGTTAACAATGCTTGAAATATTGGTAAACATTTTACAAGCAAAACCTTTTTCAATTTTTCATATACATCGTAACCTATTCATAAGGGTTCGTCAATGGTTTCAGTCAAAGCAGCATATTTTCAAGCAAATTCTTAATACAACACTTGTAAAACATGTACAAATGTTGGATTGGTATTACGTTTACATCATACAAACAATCATACAGAAATCCTATGAAAAAGGAGGGACATGAGAATGAGAATCAGGTAATACAATATAATCAGGTAATATTAATAAGTTGACTGTCTATGTTTCTTGCCTGGGTATCATCCTGGAATAAAGAGAATTTGGCGATTATGAAACCATGAAATTAAATTGGTGTGACCATAACATCATAGAAGCAATATGTTACATAATGGCAAAGCTGAGGCTAAAATCTCATGAATATGTTTGACCTCCTTCCGTTTCATCAAAGGATCCCATCAAGTTTCATAACAGAGTTTCTGCCGGGTAATTTGCTGTTGCCATGGCAACAACACAGCATGGAATTAGTCCAATTTTCCCTTGACATCTGAGGCAGGGGATTTCGTAATGCGGAAATTTCCGGTTGAACTGGTGCCCGCACAGGTAATGACATAGAAGAAGCAATTCTCACAAAAATGAAAGGCTGTGCCAGTTTCTGAACTACACCCCCTAAAATGGCTCTAACTACTGTAATTTACAATTTTTTGCGGTACTAAAATTTATGTTTGCGGTTTTCGCAGTCACTTTTGTACAACAAACTTATAATTACCTCTAACAAATAATTTGTCAACTTTCTTTTTGCTGCACCTGCCGCCACTGCAAACATGATGTATTTCCGTGAACATGATCATTTTTCTCGGAGCACAAACTTTTTGCTACTGTGAACATGAAGTGAATTACAGTAGTACTTCAAATGTTACATTTTGCTACATGTATGATATCTTTTGACAAAGAGCGAACTGGTGACTGGTTCATACATCATTGAACAAGTGCAACCTTGGATTAACTCTGAAACCTTGGATTATCAGAAGAACTAAAACCATGGATTAGCAATGAAACCTCGGATTAACAATGAAACCTTGGATTAACAGTAGAACTAAGACCAGGGATTGGTGTAAAAACCTTGGATTAACAGCGCAACCTTGGATTAGCGGTGAAATACCTGGAACCAACACCCTCATTATTTTCCTCACCACAGGAAACCTGAGTGGTGGCCATGCACTGATCCTTGCTAATTAGGCTCATTAGCCAGATTTCATGGCTTTGCACCACAGCAAATCACACAAACCACATTCAAGCCGTCTTCTCACATTCACCTTTCAAGCGCCCTTATAAAAAACACCATATACGCATCTTAAAATATGTGAAATGTTGCATACATCCAATTTTAGGGCTCGAAATTAATTTTTGAGAATAGGTTCTGCACTGGAATTTTTTGTGTGCACCATATAAGATAAAATAAGAATGTCAGCAAAAACTTATTATGTTTTATTTCTTCAGAAAGTGTTACAACAATGATTTTATTATTTTCTTAACACTTAGATATTAAGAATATGCTGTATACTACAATACATTTAACATCATACGTAAACCTACAAAAATATTTGGGTGCACTGGTGCACCCACATAAAATAATTGGGTGCACAGCTCCAAATTTGGGTGCAGTAAGGCGCACATGCACCCAGTACTTTGAGCCCTGTATTCTAAATTGTTTGAAGACTCTACAACAGTCACTGATGCAATCAATTGCACTAATTTTGCAAACATTTTTCTCTCCCAAATAATAACATTTTTGAAGTATGCAAACCAAGCTGCAATATCCATAAATCATCGTTGAACAAACCACTTTCTTTGTACAGCCAAACGCTGTGGCAAACTCTTTTTGTGACACGTACTGACATAACCAGGGTCGTAACAAAAGAACAAAAGGTTTGGACGGAAATGCTGCGTGAAATCTCTCTTCTAGGTGCAGACTCCGAGACCAGACAAACAGTTCCCCAGTATTGTCTAGGGTTTCCGTTAGGTGGGGTAAAGGAAACGGTCATCTGAATATGACCTATGAACCTTCTGCAGAAAAACTCTCAACTGTCTGAAAGACGACAATTCATTGTCAATTAGCATCAGAGGACATTGTTAAATATGCACTTAATTTAACTGTTACCGGTAAGGCATGGTAAAAATCTTTTTAGAATTACTGATATATTTGATGCATGTAGTGTGAATATCAAAGACTATTTTGGCCATAAAATTACACCTGCATCAAATATTATCAAAATGACACTCAATTCAATTTCATCATTATTTTTTCAAACAATTTTGCTCAGTGCAAAGCCACATGGACCACTTCTGTATCATATGTCGGAGAATGATTTTGATGCCATATGATTTTCAAGCATGCCATGATAGAAACAACTACTGACAAGGATCTAAGGCAGCATTTACAGAACCACGTAAATTTTGTACAACACATGCACTGGACTTTCCCAAGAATTTTGCTAAAGTACATCAATGTACTCAGTGTATATACCCAGACCCAAAACAATCCATACATTTGACACTGCCTTTGGCACAACCTCATTACAGCCGTCAAGATGAGGTGTGTGTGTGCGCGGCGACGGTTTCTCCCATGTTATTATTTTTCCGAGACCTGGGAGATGATTGCTATTTGCTGAACATAATGGATGGCGCTGTACTGATTAGCGCGGAAGCGGCCCTGAATGTTGATGCAACAGTGAGTAAGCACCCACGGGTGTACAGGGTTTTGTGAAACCCACGTGTTGCCTGTTCCCACTGTAGCAGGTGAAGTTTGAAATATGGAGGGTGACACTGGCAAAATTTAACTTTCTACCTGCTGCCTAAACCTTTTAGTTAACTAAAACATATTTGGTACCAAAATGCTACTTTAGGAGGGAAAGGGTTAAGGCTCAAAATTCATTTTGGCTGAGCTGTGCATGTTGGTTTGTGTATCTGATAGTCTGGATAGAGTAGGTTGACAGCACATGGGAGGGACGATTGACAGGCAGATGACAGGAGGTTAGGTCCTTCAGAATCTGGAGAGGGAGCCATGAATTAGAGAACATTGGGGGAATTCAGTGAGCCAAAGATTAAAGCTAAACCTGAAAATTTAGCTACACAATAAAAATAAAAAGAATGTCAGCAAACCCTACTTACTGCCTCTCTTCAGAGCTTGAATCCGAAATTCGTTTTAAGAATTCTTAGAAACTATAACTTTACATCAAAGTTTATGTATCTGGGTACACCTTGCCTTGCTATACAGAATTTCTCAAATGTTATCTAACAATCTAGTAATATTGGTAATTTACTGTTTTATTGCAAGCTCCTTTGCTGCAATTTTCCACAGCATTACAGTTCATTAGATCTCAATTCTATGAGCTATTCATCGTAAATTGTCTAGATTCATGGTGCCAAAACTATGAACTAATAATCAAGCTATCTATCACTCTGATCACATTAATATTATATGATCACCGTCAAGAATTGCCTGTAGTGTGTCTGATAGGGAGAAGTCAGCAGAAAATACCCCTGCTTTTAAGTCAATGGCATGACAAATTGGACAGAGTACGGTACAAATTTCTGATTTCAAGCATAAGATCATTCATGATTGCCCAAACATAAAGACAAGCAGTTGTAACAAGCATGGAACACTTATTTAACAAGCTTTTTTTCTCTTTGTATTGGTAGACTGCTACACAAGCAAAGTCTACAATTTCTGGGGAAAACAAAGACTGCGTTGTTGTTTTTCAAAGACTCCTTCTTGAATTCAAAACACAGTTTAAAACTGTCTTCAACTTCAAGGAGGTTTTCTAGTGTTGCAAATTGACACACTTTCTTTATCCTTATTCTGAGTATCGATTCCATTTTAGCATCTAATTATATACATTATATTCCTGATGAGTACAACAATAACCTAATTATTTGTGTAGTAAGGCTTAATTGTTGGTTTGATGCTATTATGCATGCACTAAGCATGAAGATAGATTTTTTGCATTTTTATTTGTTACATTTAATTTTGATGATTTTCTTCCAGGATCTTATCGAATTTCTGACTTTGATATACAGAACCAAATATAGCAGACATGAAATAACATGTGCCCATTAAAATCACCATATGGAATAATAATCCATGAATATTATCCTAGCCTAAGCAGATGAGATGCTTCCATTCATTCTCAGACTGGCAGAGAATTTTTCATTTGCGAACTCTCCAAACTATTTTCCTCATGCAGGTGCTTTGCTGTTCTTCTGGCTTTTTCATTTAATTTCGCTGAAAGCGTCTTGGTGCCACAACAACGCAGATGGCGTACGAGAAACTATTCCTGGTATGCAGGCCATCTCAGCTGCCTCAGAGCCCTGACCCTTAACGAGAGCGCGCTACAGCAAAATAAAAGCCCCTTTCTGACGCTACAACGACCCTGAATAGAACCTCCTGCTCCATAAGGTGTGGCCTACAACAAACGCAAGGCCTGGTAGAAATATTGTGCATACTTGTACGTCAAAAACCTCAGCAAAATTGCCAGCGAATTTTCAATAAGTAGTCCAAAAGGGGAATGCGTAGAATGCCGGCTATGTGTACTGTGGCCCAGCTGAAGCCAGGAGGCCTCCTGTTATCAAATTGCAGGGCCCGACTTGAAAGGGTCTTTCAGACAAAGGGAATGCAAATTGGGAAGACGGGGAAAATTACATCGCGAAGTTGTCGTGCAGGAACACCTGTGTGCTGCAACCCTACTTCCATTTGTTGCAAAAAAATCACGATAATTTTCTAAATTCATAACTTTTATGCAAACCGAGTAAACCGGACATTTATAATTCTCAGAATTTAGGACGGAAATTATCGCATCAATATTAAAATGGCTAAATATGCAAACCCTAGCAATGCCACAATGCACTA